AAAGGACAGAATGTTGGAACAGCGGCGGCCAGGCCTAGAGTGGCCAGGCACAAGGCAGTGGCAGCTGGGCCCGGAGCAGCAACGGCCAGGCCCCAGAGCAGCAGCAGCCAGAACCAGAGCATCAACGGCCAGCACTGGAGCAGCCAGACCTGGGGCAGTGGCAGCCAGGCCTGAGGCGGAGGCGGCCAAGCCCAGGGTGGCCAGTCCAGGAACACCCAGACCCAGAGTGGCCGGGCCCGGAGAAGCCGGGTTGGGAGCATCCAGGCCCAGAACAGCAGTAGCCAAGCCTGGAGCATCCAGGCTGGGAGTGGCCAGACTCGGAGCGGCCAGGGACCCTGGGCAGCCGGGCCCAGAGCAGCTGGGTTGGGTGTGGCCAGGCCCGAAGCAGCGGCTACCAGGCTGGGAGTGGCCAGGCCCGGAGCAGCTGGGCCCAGAGCAGCAGTGACCAGACCCGGAGCAGCTGGTTGTGGAACGAACCAGAGCAACAGAGGCCAGGCCCCGAGCAGCCAGGCCCGGAACAGCTCACTCCTCGCCTGCCTTTGCCCCACGACTGCCTCTCAGACATGGCTGGAAACTTCTGTGGGAACTTGAGGGTCTGCTGAATCAAGTGATGAAGGCTTAGATCTGGATGTGTTGAGTTAGTATAGCGCTGGGGTGTTGATCTGTGAGTGCCTTGGGTGGGGCCTGGATGAGGCTGGTTGACCTATTTGGAAATGTCTTTTGTGTGAAGTGTATCTTTGGGCATGTGGAGGTATTATTGATATGAGAAAATGCTAAGTAACTGATTTACTATCTGAAAAGGGATTTACTATCGGGGAAAGGGAGGGAGGAAGAGACTGAACATAAACTGTGCACCTGTGGATGAGGACAATGGGGGATGGGGAGGGTGGGGAGGGTGGGGTGGGAACCTGGTGGAGGCGGGAAGAAATGAGGAACCTTTGTAATAATATGAACAATAAAGATTGATTTAAAAAAAAATTAAGAACAGAGCTAACATATGACCCAGCAATCCCTCTCCTGGGTATATGCCTAAAACCTCAAATCATGTGTTCACAATGAACATGCCCCTGTGTTCACGGCAGCACTGCTCACGGTGGCCAGGGCATGGAAGCAGCGAAGTGCCGGCATGGAGGACTGGCTAAAGACGACGTGGTCCTCAGTGGAATACCGCTCAGCCACAAGAAAGGGGGAGACAGCGCCATCTGCACCAGCACGGATGGCCCTGAGAGCGTGATGCTGAGGGTAATGAGTCAGTCAGAACAAGCCGAGAGCCCTCTGACCTCGCTCTGTGTGGGCAGAAACCTGAAACTCGCGAACACACACAGTGTGGTGGCTCCGGAGGGCAGGGTGGGGGGAGGAGGCCTGCTGTGAGTTAGAGGAGAGCGGACTCTGGGTGGTGGGCACATGGTGCCACACAGAGCCTGTCACCTGCAGACCCACGCCTGACACCTGTGTGTTCCTGTGACCATGGCCCCCGTCGCCTTAGTGAATAAATATTTAAAAAGTATTCCTATGCAATTGTAAGTACACACACAGCCCACACATTACAAATGTTTTTGGGCGAGTTACTTTTTTATATCATGGGGTGTTTTTGTTGTTATTGTTTGTTTCTTTTTTAAAATAGAATTTTATTGGTGTCAGAGAGGAAGGGAGAGGGAGAGACAAGCATCAATGTTGAGAGGATGGTGCTCTCCTGGGAGAGAGCCCGCAGCCTGGGGCTGGACCGTGACTGGGAACCAGCGGGGCCTCCGGGTCCTGCGTCTACGCTGAGCCCGCCCGCCCGCCTGTCCGGGCTTTTGACATCGGGTGTAAGTGGGTCTGTGCCATCCTTTACCCAGGCCACACGACTCCGGTGCATCTAGCTGCTTCATCACCACATTCGGACGGGCATGTTGGGGAGGAGTGGTTTCTACATGAAACCAGACAAAGGGACTTGGCAGCTCCAGTCATCAAAGGAGTGAGAAACGCTCGCTGAGCCGCGGTTCCCTCAGGGGGAGGCGAGGAGGGGCTTTACCAGCCTCCGCCTACAGGAAGCCTCCCGTCCGAGGACAGACGGGCGTGAACGGGTCGCGGGGGCACTGGCATGCCATGTCGCACTAACCGGTGGCCCGGACCTCTTCCCACACTCAGCCGCCGGAGTGCCAGGCGGCTGCCGAGTGCCAGGCAGCGCCGGTGAAGGGGCGGGCGGAGCTGCGGTTCACCCGTCACCGGGAGGAGAAAGCCCAGGCTTCCCAGGAGCAGGAGGGGACCAGGCCGGTGCTGACAGACGCTCAGCAGACGGAGGTCCGGGGGCCTCGCTGACGGGCACCCTGCCCGATGCTCAGGCGCAGAGACACGCTGGCTTTGCCCTGTCGCCACCCGCTCACCACCTAGCAATCCAGTCCCTGTCCCTCTAAGCTCTCGTGCCAGCCAGTGCTCCCAGACCGTCACTGCGTCACTAAAGCCATTAAAACGGGTACTGTCTTTTTTAACTTTTAAATATACAATAGACACTGAGTGGACAGATTATTATGATCTCATCCTCCTTCCCTCCTCCTCCTCCTCTTCTCTTCCTTCTCCTCCTCTTCTCTTCATCCTCCTCCTCCTCCTCCTCCTCTTCTTCTCTTCCTCCTCCCCCTCCTCCTCCCCCCTCCTCTTCTTCTCTTCCTCCTCCCCCCTCCCCCTCCTCTTCCTCTTCTCCTCCTCCTCCTCCTCCTCCTCTTCCTCCTCCTCTTCTCCTTCTCCTTCTCCTCCCCTTCTCCTCTCCTCCTCCCCCGCTCCTCCTCCCCTCTTCCTTCTCCTTCCTTCCTCCTCCTCTTCTATTCCTCTTCCTCCTCCCCCTCCTCCTCCTCCTCCTCCTTTTTCTTTGACTTTTTTGAGTTTGATAGAAGAAAATGATACCTGGTGTTTAAAATTTGCATTTTTTGTTATTAGTGAAGTTGAACATTTCCCATGTGTCTTCTAGCCCATTTATAAACTGTTTCCTCTTTTGTGAGCTGTTCAGGTTTATTTATTTTCCTTTGTTTTCAGACTAATTTCTCTGGTTCTGGGCTTTCTTATCACTAACCAACTCTTAACACACCTGGGTCAAAACATACAGAGAGGGGCTTTCTGAGTAAAGAAGATATTAAAGAATATAGCAGTATCTGGAAAGTTGCTTTTCTTAGAAAGTGGAGGGCCCTAGCTGGTGTGGGTCAGTGGATAGAGCATCCGCCTGCAGACGGAAGGGCCCTGGGTTCGGTTCCAGACAAGGGCACACGTCTGAGTTGCAGGCTCCACCCCCAGTAGGTGGCGTGCAGGAAGCAGCCGATCAACGATTCTCTCTTATCATTGATGTTTCTCTCTCTCTCCCTCTCCCTTCCTCTCTGAGATAATATATATATATAAAGAGAGAGAGATAGAGAGTGGAAAGATTAAAAAAACAAAACAAGACTAAGACTATCCATTTCCAAAAGGGATATTAAGCTTCTCTGACCAACTCCCATCGCCAGAGCAGGGGACAAACGTATCCCTGGCCAAGGCTCTGAGGCTTGGGGCGCCCCACACGTAAGCATCTCTACGCTCAACTCTCCCGCTCCCTACACGTAACTTTAGGGGACGGGCTGCTGCAAGAAGGATGCAAGGCCGTTTTATTCATGCCCAAGTCAGAGGGAGAAGGCTGGGCCGCCGCTGTCGCCTCTGTCCGCCCGGGGTCCGGACCAATGGCTGTGCCAGTGAGCCCGTGAGGCCCGCGTGGCGCCGGCGGGAGGGGGTCATTCCTGGGGATCTCCCGTCACGGGCACGTCCTCGCGGAGCAGGGGGTGGGCTCAGGCACTCGGAGCCCGCTGTCCGTGACGGTGAGGAAGTGGGCCTCCAGCGCATGGCTCCTCCCCCTCGGCCTTTCTGAACTGGCCCGGCCGTTCTGGCCGCAGTGGGAACCCCAGAGCAGTCACACTCTGAGGTCGGAGGTGAGGGGCATGCCAGGCCGGAACCTGACATTTCAGGGTGCTTCCCTGTCAGGGCCTTTTCGAAGAAACAGGAACTGAGATGCAGCTTGAACTGGCATGCAAAGCAGCTGCTATTTCAGTCTGAATCACACGTGGGGCCCAGCAGGCCTGGCTGAAGCTGAAGGGCACGGGGGCCGCACGCCCAGGTCCGAAGGGTGATGGGGAAGGATTGAAGCTGTCCAGGCGACTAGGCAGGCCTGGCAGCGCTCTGCTGGGGCCTGGCCAGGAAGCGGGCGGCGAGCACGTCCTCCCGTTAGAGCCGCGCAACGGGGGCGTGCTCCCCGCCGTCCTCAGACCGTGCGGCCGGCCTGAGGCAGGGCGGCAGGGCAGCGGCTCCGCTTTGCACTGCAATGTGACCGTGTCACCTGGTGCTCCACCCCGGCCAGCGGGAGGACGCTGGCTGAGGTCCAGCCGAGGAGCCTGCAGCCCAGAGTATCTACGACCCTCCAGGCCCAGGAGGCCAGGCCCGCAGGAGCCTCGACCTGCAGAGCTACTCCGAAAACAGGGCAAAGCAAGCTCTGATGGAGATATTTCCAGCTTCCCTCAGGGAGCACCTCCCTCCACGTCTGCTCCGTCACCCCCTCCCCCCGCTCATCTCCTGTGGAGCCCTCGCCTCCCAGCAGCTCCTGCAGCGTCCGACCCCTGGCCCGGGCTCTGCTCCGCTCTGAGCATCAGAAATAATTTTCATTCAAGGCCCAGCTTTCCCACCCAGGGAAGTAAGGAGCTTTAGAGACAGTAAATTAGTTTCAATATTGGTTTAAGTGGCTCATACATCTTCAGGAAAAGTAGGCACTTTTGTTTAACTTCACTGAAATCAGCGGTGCCCCCCCGGGTGGCTCCGTGGCTGAGCGTCGACCTAGGAGCCAGGAGGTCACGGCTGATTCCCGGTCGGGGCACAGGCCCGGGTTTGGCCTCCATCCTCAGTGTGGGGCCTGCAGGAGGCAGCCGATCCATGATTCCCTCTCATCACTGATGTTTCTCTCTCCCTCTGAAATCAATAAAAACGTATTTTCTAAAAAGAATGGTTCTACTTACCTGAAGGTCCGAAACAGGCAAAGCTACTCCGCGGCGTTAGAGGTCCAGCTGAGCGATTGTTGGGGCGAGGGACTACGACGGCACAGGGGCTCCTGGGAGCTGCTAATTCCTGTGCTTTGATTTGGGTGCTGGTCACGTGGCTGAAGCCTCGCTGCGGTGTCCGGGTATGCGTGTGCACCTTATATCTGTGTACCATACTTCAAAAGACGTTCCTCAGAAAACAGCACACAGCGGCTCGTTCCTGATTAGTCCAGAGCTAACCTCTCCTGAGCTTGGATGAGTCACCGATGACCCACCCTCAGCCGGGACACACGCCGAGCTCGTTGCGAGGTCCCTGCTTTCCCAGGGCCTTGCACACACGCTGGGTGGGGCTGTGGTCTGGCTCCCGCCCCACCAGAGTCCATGTCTAGACGCTTTGTCCTCTGGGGGCTCAGCTGACCATCTCTGGGGTCAGCCAGCCACACAGTCTCCAACCAGAGCTCAGAGGATAAGCAGGACATGGTGAGTAATTAAGTAAATAGGTGCATTATTTGTGTGAAATCCCAGACTCTGGATCTAAGAGTGGCTATCCATGGCCCCAGCCAGCACGGCTCAGGGGTTGAGTGTTAACCTATGAACCAGGAGGTCATAGTTCGATTCCCAGTCAGGACCCATCCCTGGGTTTCGGGCTCGATCCCCAGGAGGAGGTGCGCAGGAAGCAGCCAATTAATGATTCTGTTTCATCATTGATGTTTCTATCTCTTCCTCTCTCTCTCTCTGGAATAAATATATATATTAAAAATAGTGACTATTTATGCTCCTAATATAAAATCAATAATAAATGAATACTTCAACAAAAAATAATTACTGCATTGTTTCCCCACCTATAGAGAACAAGCTCCATGAGAGCAAAATTTTGTTTTATTTGCTGCTTTATTTTATTTTTAAATTATTTTCTTAAATGTATTTTTATTGATTTTTTTTACAGAGAGAAAGGGAGAGGGATAGAGTGTCAGAAACATTGATGGGAGAGAAATATTGATCAGCTGCCTCCTGCACACTCCCCACCAGGGATGTGGCCGCAACCAAGGCACATGCCCTTGACCAGAATCGAACCTGGGATCCCTCAGTCTGCTCTATCCACTGAGCCAAACCAGCCAGAGCTATTTAATTTAATTTAATTTAATTTAATAAATCTTTATTGTTCAGATTGTTACAATTGTTCCTCTTCCCCCCCTTCCTCCATGGCTCCCTCCACTTGGTTCCCACCCCACCCCATGTCCTTACCCTTCCGTCACCACTGTCCTCATCCATAGGTGTACGATTTTTAAAAATATATATATTTTATTGATTTTTTTTTACAGAGAGGAAGGGAGAGAGAGAGAGAGCTAGAAAGGTCAATGAGAGAGAAACATCGACCAGCTGCCTCTGCACACCCCCTACCGGGGATGTACCCGCAACCAACGTACATGCCCCTGACCGGAATCGAACCTGGGACCTTTCAGTCCGCAGACCGACGCTCTACCCTGAGCCAAACCGGTTTTGGCTAGGTGTACGATTTTTGTCCAGTCTCTTCCCTTACCCCCCAGACCCCTTTCCCTCTGAGGATTGTCAGTCCACTCCCTTTCTATGCCCCTGATTCCATTATATTCACTAGTTTATTCTGTTCCTCAGAATTTTTTTATTCACTTGATTTTTAGATTCACTTGTTGATAGACATGTATTTGTTGTTCATAATTTTTATCTTTACCTTTTTCTCCTTTTTCCTCCTCTTAAAGAATACCTTTCAGCATTTCATATAATACTGGTTTGTTGGTGATGAACTTCTCTAGCTCTTTCTTACCTGAGAAGCTCTTTATCTGGCCTTCAGTTCTGAATGACAGCTTTGCTGGGTAGAGTAATCTTGGTTGTAAGTTCTTGCTTTTCATCACTTTGAATATTTCTTGCCACTCCTGTCTGGCTTGCATAGTTTCTGTTGAGAAACCAGTTGACAATTGTATGGGTGCTCCCTTGTAGGTAACTAATTGTTTTTCTCTTGCTGCTTTTAATATTCTCTCTTTGTCTTTTGCTCTTGGCATTTTAATTATGATGTGTCTTGGTGTGGTCCTCTTTGGATTCTTTTTGTTTGGGGTTCTGTGTGCTTCCTGGACGTGTCTTAATATATATTTTATTGATTTTTCACAGAGAGGAAGAGAGAGGGATAGAGAGTTAGAAACATCGATGAGAGAGAATCATCGATCAGCTGCCTCTTGCACACCCCCTACTGGGGATGTGCCCGCAACCAAGGTACATGACCTTGACTGGAATTGAACCCGGGACCTTTCGGTCTGCAGTCCAACGCTCTATCCACTGAGCCAAACTGGTCCCGGCTGCTTCCTGGACTTGTAAGTCTATTTCTTTCACCAGGTGGGGGAAGTTTTTGGTATTATTTCTTCAAATAGGTTTTCAGCATCTTGCTTTCTCGCTTCTTCTGGCACCCCAATAATTTGAATATTGGTACGCTTGAAATTGTCCCAGAGGCTCCTTACACTATCTTCATATTTTTAGATTTTTTTTATTTTTGCTTTTCTGGTTGGGTGTTTTTTGCTTCCTTGTATTTCAAATCTTTTTATTTTACTTTATTTTATTTTTTAAAAATATATATTTTATTGACTTTGTACAGAGAAGAAGGGAGAGAGATAGAGAGTTAGAAACATCGATGAGAAAGAGTCATCGATCAGCTGCCTCTTGCACACCCCCTACTGGGGATATGCTTGCAACCAAGGTACATGCCCTTGACTGGAATTGAACCCAGGACCCTTCAGTCCCCAAGCCGACGCTCTATCCATTGAGCCAAACTGGTCTTGGCGTATTTCAAATCTTTTGACTTGATTCTTGTGATCCTCTAGTCTGCTGTTGGATCTCTTTATGTTATTATTTTTTTTTTCAGTCAGTGTATGCTTAATTTCTAGTTGGTTCTTTTTCATATCCTTGAGGGTCTCACTAAATTTATCAGTTGTTTCTAGAAGATTCTTGAGTAACCTATAACCGTGGTTTTGAACTTTATATCCAGTAGCTTGCTTTCCTCCATTTCTTTCATTTGTGACCTGTTTATTTGTTTCTGCATTTGGCTGCTTCCCTGAGTTGATAAAGTGGCTTTGTGTGCGAGGTGTCCTGTAGGGCCCAGTGGCTCAGCCTCCCCAGTTACCTGAGGTGGACACTCTTGGTGCACCCCTTTGTGGGCTGTGTGAACAGTCTTGTTGTAGTTAAACCTTGACTGTTGTTAGTATCACTGGAGGAATTAACCTCTAGGCCAATTGGCTGTGTCTACGATGGGAGAACTTTTGTGCTGGAGACACCCTTATGAGGCAAGACTTGCTTCAGTGGGGCTTTGGTGCTCACTGAGTCTGCCCCCTGAGTGTGTCCCTTATGGATCTGAGGAGTTGTAATCTGACCACTGGGTACACTGGCTCTTGGATCTCCAAGGAGATGCTAATCTAGCCTCTGTCTGAGGCCACCCAGCAGGAGCTACAGAGAGATGTGCAGATTCCTCTTCTTTGGGTTTTGGATCTGGATGATGTCCATTTTGTCTTATAGTTGTAGTTTTGAAATGGTGTGTGAGGCAGCAAGTTCAGGTGTTTACATATGCCGCCATCTTGGTTTCTCTCTGCTGCTTTATTTTTAAAATAATTTTTTATTATTCAATTATAGTTGACATACAATATTAATTTCAGGTATATAACGTAGGTTAGACATTTATATAACTTACAAAGTGATCACTCCAATAAATCTAGTAACCACCTGACACCATATATAGTTATCACAATGTTATTGACTATACAGGGTGGAGTAAAAATTGGTGTACAGTTAGAGAACCAAGATGCTGGCATAAGTAAACACTGGTATTCACCACCTCCCACCACATCAAAATTATAACTACAACACCCAACAACCATCATTCAGATCGCCTGAAAGCTGGCTGAGTGGAAGTCCTATGACTAGAGAAGTAAAGAAAGCACCCTGAGACTGGTAGGAGGGGCAGCGGTGCAGAATGGGCTGGTCCAATACCCACATGTGATTTGTTTTTTAATCGGGAAGGATATCTTGGCTCAAAGGGCTCCCATGAGGAGCAAGGGTCCCAGCCCCACACCAGCCCAGGGTTCCAGAGCTGGGAGAAGTCCCCATAACTATGGGCTGTAAAAACCCTTGGGGATTGTGTCTGAGTGACATTGAGGCTGCTGGAGACCCAAGCATTTCCACTTTAAGGGCCAGTAAACAAACTTAAACAGTCCTGCTCCCTCTGGCTCCTGTGCTGGGCAGTGGGTTGAGGGCTCTAAGGACACACAAGGAGAAAGTGGATAGTCTGGTATTGGAGCAAGAACTCAAGGGTGGCTTTATCTCTGATGGGGGTGCTCACATGGTTTATGGTTCCTGTGCTGGGATCTCCCCCATCGCAGAGCTAACTGGCAGCCATATCTGAGTTTCCATCAGCCTGGCCCACACTGCTCACTCCACCTGGTGATTCTCTGAGACCCCGCCCTTCCCAAGCTGTTTGCAGCAGCTTTTCCATATGAATGGCCTGTCTGGGCTCAGGCTTCAGACCTTGTTAAAATCTCTCAAATAGCCCTAGCTGGTTTGGCTCCATGGATAGAGCATCAGCCTGCAGACTAGAGGTACTGGGTTCGATTCTGGTCAAAGGCACATGCCCAGGTTTCGGGCTTGATCCCCAGTAGGGGGCACGCAAGAGGCAGCCAATCGCCGAAACTGGTTTTGCTCAGTGGATAGAGCCTCAGCCTACGGACTGAAGGGTCCCGGATTAGATTCCAGTCAGGGGCATGTACTTTGGTTGCGGGCACATCCCCAGTGGGGGATGTGCAGGAGGCAGCTGATCGATGACTCTCTCTCATCGATGTTTCTAACTCTCTATCTCTCTCCCTTCCTCTCTGTGAAAAAGCAATAAAATATATATTTTTTAAAAAGAGGCAGCCAATCAATAATTCTATCTCATCATTGATGCTTGTCTCTCTCTCCCCTCTCCCTTCCTCTCTGAAATCAATAATATATATAAAATCTCTCAAACAAGCAGCAGCAGGTGTCAGTGTTCTATTCCTACCAGTAAGAGACCCAAGACCTAGCACTAGCACCAGCCTGCCTGCTTCATAGCTGGGCTTTGGCTGGGCACTTCCAAGCCCAATACAAATAGTAGCCATCTGCAGATCTCTCAGTAGCTCCT